ATCCACAAAACGTGTTGCGGTGGAGTGTTATTATTTCTTTTGTAACAAAATCGTTTTTGCCTATTTCTCTTCAGTTGCTGCAATTGTAAATGAAGTACACTTCGAAAACTGTGCCGTTATGTTGCGCAATTCGGCCGCAAGTATGCGAATTTTATGGACGTTTTTGTACACTGTTTCACTTAAATATTTATCAAACAAATGTGTAATTCCGTTTTTAGGTCGTAAAATGTCTTATTCTCTTATTTTCCTTATTAACTTGCTTAAATAGCACTAATTAAAGAAATACAGTAATAACATGTAACTAAAAAATAATCAGAACGTTTCAGATCATTAATTCTATGGATTAGTGAACGTTTTTAGGAGTCCGGAGAGTTAAAAAATATTATTACAATTCGGTGTTGTTAAGTAATTACATCCGATATTGGAAAGTCTGTATTATGGTCAAATATAGTGAGCCAATTACGAATCTCGGTATAATTTACTGTTACCAAAAATTTTCATGAGTTAAAAAGTAAGCATTTTATTTCCTTAATCGATTATTGAGCCTTCATTAGTGGTATTAAACTGAGGACAGTTAAATATAGTCACAATAAACTTTTAACACATTTTTATTATTCCTCAGCTTTTTTCTTTTAAATTTTACAATGCAACTCTTTCGATAAATTACTTGCATATGGTTTGGCTGATTTACGTTGTTAAACAAAAAGATGACAAGTGGATATACCTTACTTGATGTTACCAAACCATGTGAAGAAGAAAATCTTTGCCAAACAGAGGCAAAGATTACTATTTTGGAAATTTATGACACAGGATATAAGAAATACAATCATTTACAGGTTGTTTCTTAATTCGACTGTCAAACTTCTATAGGATATTCCTTGATCAAAATTGGCATAAAAAATTGAAATAAACCAGATGCTAATTCCAATCCTTATACGAAGATACGTAGTTTGAATGATCTGCTGAGGTAATAATAATAATAATAATGCATTTATTTTCCTTTAAGACATGTGTACACATATATATGAATAGTCAATATTACTTAACCTAAGATTACAGAAATTCATCTACAGAATAAATACACTTGCCCACTAAAAATAACTTTAATTTACATTTAAAACTTTTAAAAAACTGGATTCGCTTTAGTTCTTCTGGCAGATGATTGAAAAGCTTCAAACCAAGATAGTTAGGAGAATTTCGTGATATTTTAAATTTTATAGTAGATATGTAGAATGATCGAAAGCAGTTGAAGTCCAAGAGATCTTTCGAAAAATTTGGCTTAAATCTAGGATATAAAGATTCCTAATCACTGCGTTTGCCAATATAAATAATGTATTATTGTAATAGCATTTAGAAATTTTAATAAAAAAAAATTGTTAGACCAATTTCGCTTCTAGAAGTAACTCATGAAGATTTTGAGGATGATCAGAATGACGTAGAGGATTTTGGTCTGAAATCAGAAGCAGCATAATATATGGAATGTGATGATTCTGTTTTATATGAATTTTCAGAATATTGTTTTTATAAGCTCGTTTTGTTAGTTTGTTTTTATCTAGAAATTTTGTTAAAAATTACTTTCTATGTTATTTTTTAGTTGTAGAGAACTGAAATTTTGATTATTTTCTTTGTATACGCATGAAAAATAAAAATGTTGTTTCTTTTTGTTGTTTTAAAAAATATATATTCACCTTTTGTTAATTTTTTCTTGACCTTCACTAATTTTAGGTATAGTATTTCGATATCAAGTAGGTATATAAGTTTATATAAATATTATATAAATTTTGTTAAAATATATTATTTTCATACTCAGCAGGGTTTATTCTTGCAAAATATGTCTGGACAATATTTTAGTAAGTAATTTATCCCAGGTTTTTTCAATTTTCTTCAACTTTTTCATTTTTCCTATTTTTTGCCAATTCTTTGTTAAATATCTAATCAGTACCAAATTTAGTACACATTTTTTTCAAGACTATTTCGAAAAAAAAACGATTTTCCCTATCTCTGGTGAAGTATAGGTTTTGCATATACAGTATGGAAGATTGAAAAAATATTGTTCCTAAAAACTGTTGCTGAAAGCATGGTTTTCGAGTAAATTTATATAACTACATACTATTTATTACCAAATATAACGCAACAAAGAATACTATGATGTGTATGTTTACACACTATAAACGTTTCTAAAGAGTAAAGATAACTATATAAGATGCTTTACGTTCATCCTATGTGTTAAATATGTAGTATAGTAAATAACACAATAATATTCTTTCTTTATACATTTTTTCCTTTCTTTTTATTACCCACAACTTGTTACAGTTTTTAAACAGATCTCTAGTGTTTAATATATGGCTTCTTTCTTATTTAATGCTTTCCAGTTTCCTTCAAAAACGTGTTATTTTGGGTTAAACCTTACACTGCCTAAAAATCAAAGAAAATTTGACATTTTTTATCAGAATAGCTACAAAGAAGTAGGTTCTACGCAATTTTTGGTACTGTTTATAAATATGAGTTATCAATAGCCAGAACTGTGTTGTATCTTTAGTACTGATACTGATTAATGAATTAGTGTGGAAAATATATTAAAAAGAACTTTGTTAACAACAATAGGTTATCTTGATGTGAACTTTTTGGGTAAATTTTGATTAAGGAATACTCTTTATAACTTCGACATTCGAATTGAGGAATGCCATTTGTAACTTTGGAACATGTAGGTCACTTTTAGACGCAAATCCAGGAACTTATATGTTAAAAATAAAATACCAGTACCTGTGGCAACAAAATATTTTAAAAATTATAATAATATAAAAAGATTTATGTGTACTGCCCGGCATTTACTGCGGTTCTAACACGTAACAGCGCGCTTTACAACAATAATGACTTATTAAAATTAGATTTTATTTCATAAAATCGGGTCAATATAACAAATGATTCATTATTACAATAAAGTTTGTTCCATTGTGTGCAGCGCTGGTTAGAGAAGGCGTGTTGCCTATTACTTAAATGAAATATGCTTTTTCTTTATAGCACAATAACTTGAATAGAACTCCTATAGCACACCTCGCAAATCTATCACATTTAATCAGTTTATTAGATAAGAAGGGGGGTATCTCCAGCATCTGCACGTAGTATCTCGTCAGGGTTTGCTCACTGAGTAATTCAATTAAAACAATAAGAAAAAACAAATATTTAATTATTAATTTTATACTTGTGTGCCGTTTTAATTTTCCATAATACAATGGCTTGATTGCAGCAAATTTCATTTTATTAACGTTTACAACCTAGCACAAACTTGCCAGGTTGTAAATTTAAAATACTGAGCAAAACTAATAATGAGTGTTAACAAAAGTTGTTGCATAACTTAGGGAACAAAGTCAAAAGGAAAATAAAATCATATCAAATTCGTAGAATCTAGTAAAACTTGGAAATTTGGAAATATATTATTTTCTCACTAGTAAAATGACATTTCTGTATGAGCTATGACAAGATATTATTGAGAAAAACTAATAAAAAACTGAATACCTAAGTGTATTTATTATTATTATTATTTATTAATTATTATTATTATTATTATTATTATTATTATTATTATTATTATTATTATTATTATTATTATTATTATTATTATTAATTGATGTGTTGGGTCTACTTTGACTTTTTGTTTGATTTCAGATTTTTCTCGTTCATAAAGGACCATTCGCCAAATTTCTATGCCCTTGCACAAATAATAAAATTGCGAATCAAATTATTGACATTCAAATTTGATAATGTATATACTAACAAAATTATCTGAAATAAGTACCAATATCAAAGTAAGCCTAGGACGTTGAAATTTTAGACATACTCTGGATTTCATTCTCTTCTTAATAACATTTTGTCACATCTCACACAGAAAATATGCTTTACTAATGAAAAATTCATATACTTCCAAGACACTGGATTTTGTTTCAATAAGAGTCGAATCCTAGAAGGTAATATTTTAACACATTTTTTTTTAAATCATTATTTCCATTATTATTATTGAAACTGTTTTTTTCTTTCAAGATATAATTTATGTTAAAACCGTTCGCATTTTTTTCTGAATTCATAAGAATATAGTGGGGTGGATATCGGAATATTGAATTTACTACCTGGACCTTTATATAGGGTGTTTCAGAAAGACCTCCCGTAAATACAGGGGGTGATAGTACAACAAAAAATATCTAAGAATTTTTTTTGTCTTATGAACTATATGTCTATCTCTTCTTGTTTTCGAGATGCAGAGCGACAAAATAAAATTTTTTAAATAGAATTTTTACGAAAATTTCCAAACGGTGCGAAATATTTTTATGAAATTTGGTATTCTAGAGTTTTTAAGGATGCCAAATACGCTGGTCTAATTATTTTTTGTATATTTCATAGAGGTCGTTAGTTATGCTACATTCCTATTACATTTTCAGTTTTAATTTTTTTAAGATTATGTTTTTTACCATTCAGGCTCCAATTTCAGATGTACAATTTTATTTTATAAACATAATGTACTCTTGTTAGAACTTCCTAATGTGGACGGTTTTCGAGAAAAAAGGCTTTTAATTAAACTCTTACAATATTACGTTGTATAAAATAAGTGACTTTTCTCTAAGTGGGCTTATGTCAAAACTTATTGATGAATGTCTCATAAACAACACATACACAACTACTATCACTCCCTGTATTTACAGGAGGTATTTCTGAAACACCCTGTATAACGAATACGTTTTTTTCACTTTGAATTAATAGACTATAAAAGTGACGCATGTCGAAACGAATCCTTCCAATAACACAAATATGCCGTTGACCTTATCTCCTTCAAAGCAAGAATTTATAGATCATATCCAATTCGGTTCGCTGCATGTTGAGCAGAAAAACCACCGGCTCACACTGAAGGGTATAATTTTCGCCTCGGTGTGCAGTGAGACCAACACCGAGCGCGTGGTTGTGTAATTTTGATTAATAGCAATATTTCAATTGTTTATGTTTGTTTGCAGGTCATGGAGGCGTAAACCAACTGGGTGGAGTGTTCGTGAACGGTAGGCCACTACCGGATGTGGTCAGACAGAGGATAGTCGAACTGGCCCACAACGGAGTCCGGCCCTGCGACATTTCCAGGCAGCTGAGGGTGTCGCACGGCTGTGTGTCGAAGATTCTCTCTAGGTAATATATAAGTATAAGGTCGCTACTGTGAAACTCTACAGATCATAACATTCCACTTGAACAGGATATCGTTACTATTTCGGTATAAGTAATAGAAACAGTACATTCAGGGAGAAAGAAAGTTTGATTCGAAGTGTGGCTTGAATAAAAAATTGAAGTACAGTTTTTCAAGTCCGTCTACAACTACCACAGTTCTGTTGGTATTGACCACTGTTACATGACACACTCTGCATAAAAAGTTTTAACCAATCGACGTGTCCGAGCGTTTTTTCGAACACGCCCCTATTTATTTATTATCGAATTTATTTCATTTGGCTGATACACACTGTATAATAGTAAACAGAACCCTTACCCTTGAAATTATTTTGCTATACCTACATTAGAGCCAACGACAACAATACGACAGTCATCTGCGACGATTGGCGGCAATATGCAGTTTTCGTGTAGTTTTTTGAAGACACGTGCCTACTCTACTGGGCTATTGAATTTTTCCACGCACAAAGCACTATTAAAATGACGTACGCACTAATAGATTAAGAGCTTTTATTATGTATTTTGACGTGTGTGTGTGGAGAATCGACAGTAATATTTATATTAATACTTTAATGCTCGGTGGCTCATACGGAAAACATTCCAATCCGACTTTATTGCGACAATTGATTGTTTTACTGTTGCTTTCAACATGAACGCTCATTCATTACTAAATAAAAATTAATATATTGCTTCCGTACACGGTGGATGAACTGTTATAAAATATGAGAACCAGATGCGCGATTTGGCTACAGTTGTATATTTCACCTGTCTTTCTATTATGGCGATTTTGATGAATGAGTGACCTTGTCACATATTATGTTTAAGCCGTGAAAAATGACTAGCGTTTAAACCTGTTAGTATCCGATGGTTACTTGTAGAAAATCAAATTAGTTGAGCTTCTATCCAACTAATTAATCAATTGGTGAATGCTTTATAGTAGAAGTAAAGATAGTCTCAAAAAAGAATAGAAAGATTAGCGCAAAATTTCTCTTTGCTGATGTTGTGTAGTGGAAAGCTCTAATGTCGGTGCTTCATTGAACTCTGTGTAGGCTGTCAGATTAGTTTGATTTAATTTCAACCGACTTTTTGCAACACGAGGATATGGAATAATGATCGCGCTGAACAGCTTCGTACAATGGACGACATAAGTTTGTTTTTGTGGCGACGGCGGTCGTACAAATGATAAATGCATCGTCCCCATGTGGTCCTTGGTCATATAGAATAAAGCTCATCTTTTTGGGAAGCGCCCACTAAAAAACGGGAAAACATTACCAGCAGGTCGCTTGATCGTGTTAGTCGCTGCATGCTGAGCACCACCGGAAGAGGGGTTCGTGGCCGGGGGAAAGTCTGCGGGAAGGGATAAAACCATAAAGGATTCGTCAAAAAAAGCTCTTCCTCGGACTACCAACTAAGTGCGCATATTTTTTTAAATTTCATAACAGTTTATGTACCTAATTAATGTAAATTTATATCTTGAAAAGTCAACAGTAGATGTCTTCAAAAAGAAAACTTTAAAGAGTGATACGAGTATGAGCGTTATATTCCGCATTCGAACATCGCCCTGTGCCATGGAAATAAATGACGGCGGTTTTATTAGTAGTTGATATAAATAAGCCGCGTGCTCTCCCCAAAATATCGGGCTAGATCCAATTAAAAACGGCGCATCCCCCATAATTATTAAATGATGTAATACCATTACGGGGAATTCTCGTTAGCTGACGGTGGCTGATGCAAAATATAAATTCGTCACGCCGAACCCACACACATAACTGAATCAAATTTCTGCAGCAATTCAGTTATCGTATATTAGCCGGAATGATGTCATAAAGGGGTTTGCATGCACCCTGGGGAAGTAACAATATTTTGCAACGATGCATTAGCGGGATCAGTTCGACGCTGACAGAAAGCAGATTTCCGTTGTGGGTCCGTCTTATTGATTGGGGCCTTACCAGCGACGCCAAATGTTTTCATTTTGGGGACTGATTACTTAAAAATATTAACATTTATGTTTTCAAGGTAGATAGTTGAGAAAAAAATTTTTGAGAAAGTTGACTATTACAAAAAGATCATGTATTGATTTTATTAAGACTTGATATAATAGCGGTCGTAAATTTTTCAAAAATGAAAAAGAAAATGATTCGAGAAGACTACACGGATTGATAAACGGACGGAAAAGTTTTAAAATGCAGCAGTTTTAATATTCTTTGTTGAATATTTTCTGGCTTATTTATATGAATACCATAATCATCGTCTAGTTTGCTTCTCACAATGAAACCAAGTGTTCAATATTCGAGGAAAAGTTAGTCAGTTAGTTTGTAAGTTTATATTATTTAAATTGCAATCAAAAATTAAAGGAGACAAATTACAAGTAAGGGACATAAGGTTCCACTTTATGGCATTAGTGTGATGTATTTTTGTAGTTGCCTTCTAAAATTTTGTCATAGTGGCGAAAATGTTCAAATCATAAGAATGAGACAAACAAGGTACATTTACACATCAGTTATTCTATTTATAAATATATTAATTAATAGTGGTCCCAGAACAGAACCCCGTGGTACACCGTTAACAGCTAAAAATTTCTTCTACTGGTTAAACGTGATTTAAGTAATTCAAAAAGTTAATTTTGAAATACCTGTTCAGAGGTCATTTAACAAAATTTTATAAAGGAGGTAGTTTGAATTTTTTTTTTTCATATATCGTATATAGAACATAAGGATCTCTCTTCATAATGCATCTGAATTGTGATAATGGTTACAATTTTTTTTGATATTTTTAATGCCCAAAACTTGGCAGGTTAACGACTTAACCGATATTATTTTCAGTCCGAACAAAATTCTTATAAGAAGCATTTAGTCAAAATTAAATTGTTTCTTTCAATTTACTGCTGTAATTTTTATTAAATTCCGTCTACATTTTCCATATAAACCAACACTTGCATAATATGCATTTTTCTAATATTTCATTTATAGTCATCTTTGTGCGGATATATTAACGTTGGGAATGGGGCTTTTAGGAGTATCTCTGCAATTCTCATATTCATATAATTACCCGACCAAGATGTCCGTTTAGGATTATCCTGCGTAAACAGCCTACATTAAATGCCGCAAAAGTATCTTTAACAGTTGTGCAGTATAAGTCAGCGCGTGTCTTATTAAAATAAATTATACACAAACACACTCTCACTCAAATTAATAATTTGCTTTGGGAGTAAATGATCATAAAATAACTAATAAACCTTACCGGGGGATTTACTCATCCATAACTAAACACTAATTAGATGACGTTTCACTTGCGACTCGATGAAAATAAACTCTATCCGATATAAAGAAGGTAGACGTCGTTAGTTGCGGCTACAAATTTCGCGAGTACCGCTGGCATATTTACCACCAGAGATCATCAGTCTAATATTCTACATGTGTCAAGAACATCAAGGCGGCATTGTAAATTTTCTTTCACACTAACATATGTGAACTGCTAACACATGTCTCAGACATAATAGAGCTTATTTAGGTGTATTTCGGGTGACGGAAATAATATTTTTCATACTTCCTCGCGGTGCGTTACCGTCGTTTTTGTAGAAATGTTTTATATTTTATTTAATTCTTCAAGCAATTTCCATACGTGGTCATCCAAAGTAAATTTTTAATACAAGACTGGGTATCATTTACTGTTTATAGTAAGTAATTTTTAAGCAGTTTTTACCTTTCAATTTGACATAGAGTCTTTCATCTGAAAGAACCGAATATTATTATATCGCGCGATTTTAAATAGAATTGGAGCTAATAATACTATTAAATAGTAACAGAAATTAAATGAATCAGAATACATATAGTGTGTTCCACCAAAGAGGGATTCTTTTATAACTATTACCACTAAGAATACCACAACACCTGTTATCTACTTTCTACTTGTATTTTGGTACATCATTTTTATTGCATTTCCCTTTATTTTATTTGAAAGAAGAATCATTTTAAAATTTCAATAGATTTATATCAGAGTACAGGAAAAAAATCTACTTACCTCACAAAATAGAAAAGGCAGAAAGTCTTTCTAGAATACAGTAAGTAGGTATAATTTATTATTAGACATCGTAAACTTTGTGGCGATAATCAAATAAATAAACAGAAATAATCTACTCGTGTATTATGATACTAAGCGGCAATACTAGTTGTAGTAGTAGAACTACGTTAAATCTGTGGCCGTACTCACAATATACAATGCTACTGACTATCATAAAAACACGTGCCATACACTCGACCAAACAAAGCGTCAAACTCACTCACACACGCACAAATGACAATGACGACCAACGTCTCTCAGCAAAAAAACTGCATTGTTCACCTGCGCGTCAGGCCGACAGACCAGGCATTAGATATCGAATAAATTGATCGATGCGAAGCTTCAGATCAATTTTAAAATAATTTTAGAATTTAAAAATTACCTTTCATATGTAATTTTGAAGTAGTGGCCTGAAGATGTCAAAATAAAGCTGATGAAACGTCGACAAAGAAAAAATTACTGCGTTTTCTTTGAGTTTTGGCATTAATTCCCACGACTGACTACCAACAATCTATATATAGTTATTGACAACCATTTCATAACGGCAACAACAACAAGGATTATATAATAATAAAATCTGCTGTTGTCTAATGTTAATCTAATTATTGGAAAATCTTTGGAATATTAATTTCTCTGCCGTTAATAGATTTTCCGGCACCCTCCACAACTTATTCGAAATTGCTGCCTCGGCAGCTTTGGAAGTGGGTCTTCGCCTCCCCGATACACCTTGCCTGTCCCGGTACTCGGAGACAATACGTTTCAGTCTATCTTTATCCATTTAAATCGGTTTAGAAAGCATGAATAGCTATTTGAGAATCAGAATTTCATTTCAAGTTTAATTGCCGGTTCCGTGACAAACGGCTGTATCAATATACCTCGGTAGCGTACCCATTACTTTAGAAAACCATTGTCATTGAAATTGATCCGCATTGTAAACGTCTCCTCCAACTTAATAATCTAAGCACAAAGTCCTAATTATACAGGTTTGTTAGGTGAACGAGATAGAATCAGGAGGCGGTAATACCGAAAGGACGCTAAGCTTTAAGTCATTTTACGAGCAGCGGGTAACTAATTATAAGAAACAAAACCGCTTCAATTTGTTTGTTCTTCTTCATTATCCTCGGCGGGCTTCGGCTGTCCCTATCACTCTTATCTCTGCGCTAATAAAATAACTCCGGTATCTGTGCCATTATCGCTTTATTCTAATGTTTCGCTTTGCGGCACGATAGGATTAACTGTAATAAAACAAAAATATATTCGTTATCGTCATTGGGATAATTGCCGCTGTCATTGATAGAAAAAATAAAGTTACCTGTATAATTGGTTTGTTTGCAAACTTAACGACGCACATTTTCTTCTGCAGGATCAAATTATGTATAAGTTTTAAGACTTTCACGTCCTTTGTCGGTTTTAAAGTACTGTGCTTTTTTGGGTTGTTATGACGTGGCCAGTTACAGACTTACCTACATTGCAACTAAGCTTTTGCGGAGCCGCTACTAAAGCATTGGATGTGAACAGTTACAGAAGCCATTACGGAACGTCTCAATGGAACACCATATTATGAATAGCGTTTATCTCCGTATGCGTAGAACTAGCGATAAAACCGAAATGAACATAAGGATCCGCCCCCGCAGAGCCTTGCTCGAGAACAACTAGGGCATGTCAATGATTTACTCTCCCAGTTGACCAAGCCAATATGATAAAATAATAGTAATTTTGAACAATTAATCTGTGGTGTCGGAATTAGGTGGCATCTGAGCGAATTAAAAAAAAGTTATTCGATATCGCCGAAAATCGTCTCTTACAAATTTAAACTTCCAATAAACGCTTTTTGAGTTGTTTTCGTAAAAATCACCCTTCACAATCTTCAAGAAATTATGAAAACATTAGCAAAATTGTTATCAGTATCAGAACTGAACCGCGAGACATAGGCGTACGCATTTTCTATTAAAAAACAACAAATTAAATTGTCGACAATACACCACCATAAACACAGATAGGAACTAATTACGCAACATCCGCACGATAACAAAGCAACAATATACTATTGTGACGGGAACGTGAAAAGCAGTCTGAGGCAGTGGCTGACGCATATCTCGGTTGACCCGCTTGGCACGCCATTGAATTGCGGCTCTCTCTGACAGCCTTAGTTATCAGCAACATAAGCAAATGTACTAATAACCTTTATGCAAAGTTAAATGAAACGTAATCAGGATGTAATTAACTTTTCGATAACTTCCTATGTTCAATTGTTGAGAAAATAGCAAAATAATTGACATTTATCAATTAGTCCTAACATTGTTTTGGTTTTTTAACTTTTACTTCTACTAAAATATACGCAAGAGGTGTTATTGAATTCAAATACGTAAAAGATGATTCATTGAGAAATATGTCGAATACTTCCCCAAATCCTTTCTAATATCGACGCAACTATAAAAATAATCTACACTGTACTAACTTTGGAGTTCAATCTTCAATACCTAATTCTTGAATAATTGAACAAAACTGTTTCACGTCCATTTTTTTATGATTCAAAGGCATTACTCATATTTTTTTTGTTTGTTTTGACGAAAGGAATCAATCCTGAAAGACTTGCAACATCGCTGTTACAATGTATCTACCCCTCGCATTATCTCGAGCGTCGTTTGCTATTGTTCACTGTAAACGAATCATTAATATTGGTGACTCTGTACTACGCTCAAAATAGCTTATAAAAAATAACTCAGGTTCCATTAAAATGAGTGTTGGTGACATTAAAACTAAATCCTTGCTACTTTTTTGATAGACACCTTTAAATACATTAAAAGCAAATGAGGTATTTCATCATTGCATTTTCGCATTGCTTCTGAATCTACATCTAGCACTATTTCACATTTGACAGCTTCTCGTAGAATGAATTGTTTTAATACAGCCCAGTAAGAACTTCTAATATTTAATAGATTGAACGTTTTTGGTTCCAGATACTATGAAACGGGTAGCTTTAAGGCTGGTGTCATCGGTGGATCGAAACCGAAAGTGGCGACTCCACCAGTAGTCGACGCCATAGCGAACTACAAGAGAGAAAACCCCACCATGTTCGCATGGGAAATTCGTGATAGGCTTTTAGCAGAAGGGATTTGTTCTCAAGATAACGTACCTAGTGTTTCATCAATTAATAGGTAAGTTGCAACTTGATTACCAGTATTTTCACCATTTTGAGTAGCGTCTGTATGCTCCCGCAGACACTTTCTGCTTAGCAGTAGCAGAACGTTAAAGAAAATTACAAGATGGTCGGGAACGTTTTCCATTTGTTTGTTGAATATCTTGTAAGTGAAACGTTGTATCTTCAACCAGATTAATTAGATTTTGAGCTGAAAAGTTATAAATGCAAGGCACCACCATCAATAAACAGTCTAGATTTATGCAGAACTCCAAGAAACCCTGAATACATCAGTGTTCATGGATTTCATACGCTTCAGGATGGATCTCTTGCAATCCCTGTAGACTTTTTGTCACTTTGTGTTTCAAATTTCTAACAAAAAATGTAATAATTAATTTGGCTGGAGGTGTTTGGACACAATATAAGCATCGAACAGTTATGAAAGAACGAATGGTATCATAAAACACACGAAATGCGTTGTGCACTTTGATCACAAGATGCGACGTTTTTACACCCGCTGTTTTTCAAGACATTCAACAACAAAAAATGAGGAAATCATCCCCCGACACCAACTATAAGACCGTAGTGAATTAACATCAAAGTCTTGCCTTGGAAATAAAGCTTTAATATTGGTTTAATTTTAAGAATCTAGAAATGCCAATAGCTTATAATGCAATTTATGAAAATAAGATCAATCAAGTATTCTTGTCCTTCCAATGTGTAAATATAATATTGTTGTCTACTTCAAAAGGAAGACACACGTCATCATTTATATGTAAAGAAATATGTATACAGGGTGTTCCTAAATAAGTGTCGCAACGGAACACTGTATATTGCTCTTGTAAAAAGAAACATTCTTTTCCTCTTCCATTTTTCTCTCAGGGCTTTCGTTTTCGAGATACACGGTGTCAAAACTTTCATTTTTTTTTAAATTTTTTGCCAATATCTTAGGAACCGTTTGAACTACAGGACTGAATTTTTGTACACGCATTACCACTGTTAATAGCTACTTTTTTGCACCCTTCTCGAATTCATTGAACATGCCAGTGGTGGAGATTTTAAGGTATCGTAAGGGTTTTTCCCCCCATAACTTTTACACCACATTTGACAGCAAATTCTGAAGCGCCAATGAATTTTACACAAAAAGAGTTCTCTTGGTTCATTGCTCTAAAGTCAACCGTTTTCAAGAAAAATTACATTTTATGAACAAAAACAAACATTTTGCTAACGTTTCGAAAATCTTTTGTAATTCAAAAGATAGATAGTGATAGTAATAATTAACAAGTTTAACGAAATTCAACAACATTTGACACAGGTAGCTATTAATAGTGGTAATGTGTGTACAAAAGCTCAGTCCTGTAGTTCAAACGGTTTCTAAGATATTGGCAAAAATCTGAAAAAAGTTTTGACATCGTGTATCTCGAAAACGAAAACCCGGAGAGAAAAATGGAAGAGGAAAAATATGTTTCTCTTTTCAAGAGAAATGTACAGTTTTCCGTTGCGACACTTATTTAGGAACACCCTGTATACAATTTGTCTTTGTTCGTTGGTTTGATCTTCATTCTCTAACCATTCTAGAGTTTTATCATGACAAAATAGATGTTGCTTTTCAAAAGAAGGTGAAACAGGTTTAGTATCAATTCATAGCTCTTTATCTTCAATGCAAGAAGAACAGACCTTAACAAAATTCCAACGTTCATTTGCCGAATGCAAAATATTTCCTTATTCATATGTATGTATATGAACGTATTTCAAAGATATGTCTGTCTGGAAAATTTTCAGCCCCTTTATGTTCGTGACGCCACTGTGGGGGTGTGTGTGGGGGGAGGGGGGTAATTTTTTTATAATAAATGTCTACTGTGGTTTGAATAGGTTTTAAAACAAATTTCTTTTCAAACGAATACTTTGATTTCTTTATCATAAAGCACAAGTCATGTAAAACGTGCTGCAGAAGAATGCAGCAGGGGCAGATAAAGATTTTTTACTCCTGTCGCCGTCGCGGCGTGCTGCAGAAATTAAGCTAAATCACATCTGTTATTTTAATAATCAGGAGCCAGGGGTTGTGATATGTAGTAATGGACTGGCCCGCTGGGACGGCCGGTCAAATTAAATGTGTCAAATCAGCCCCTAGCACGCCTGGCCTACTCGATGTTATCTACGCATTATAATAGGGGGGTGGCTATGATTGCGCGATTGTTTCAAATGGATTGTGTTGAGTGGCTCTTTATGTTCACTTCGATTATTATACTGGACTGACTGCTATTTATAAATTAACCCACTCTGCTTTATTCTGAAATTGAACTATACGGGGCGTTCGCAAACTGTCAGCAAAAATTTTAGGGTGTTATTATACTTATAAGGCCAAAGTTCCCATTCTAAAACAATATTAATCGAGTTCCTTCATTGAGGATGGACGATAAATGGGTATAGATTTTCGTAAGTACTGTTAAATGCGAACTAAAATAGTTATAGTTTATAAGTTAGTTCATAAATTAGCAAACTATCAAAATGCAAATGCTTATACTCACTAGTGTGTATTTTTTTCTGGAGAATTGCAATCACAAATATCAACAAAGAGAAAATGGTTATAAAAACTAATATAATGAATTTCAGACCTATATCTATTATTTCTAATTTTTGCAAAGTTTTTAAAATTCTTTTACACAATCGTTTATATCATCATGTCAGCAGAACGTTGACTATACATCAGTATGGGTTTATGAAGGGCCGTGCTACTACCACCAGTTTAGTTAATGTTACCCAATTCATCTCCGAAATCTTAGACAAACAGTCTCAGGTCGATGTCGTATATACTGACATGTCCAAGGCATTTGACAGACTTGATCATGGCATGCTGTTAAGGAAATTATTATCGTGTGGTTTGTCGTTAAACTTAATCAACCTGTTCACTTCTTATCTGATGGATAGAAAACAGTATGTCATGTTCAATGGTTTTAAATTTACTGAATACGTTGCTTCATCTGGAGTGCCTCAGGGAAGCAACTTGGGCCCTTTATTCTTTAATATTTTTATAAATGATATTGTTAGTATATTAGATGTGCAATGCCTTCTTTATGCAGATGACCTGAAAATTTATTGTGAGATCCAATCTGACGCTGACTGTGTTCGGTTATATAATAACTTAAAACGTGTTGTAGAATAATGGTGCAGTTTAAATCATCTTGAGATCAATGTCGCAAAATGTAATGTAATGTCCTATTCCCTCAAAAAAGACCTAATCAGTTATGATTACAGGGTAAACGATATCGTCATTCAGAGAACAGAAACTGCATCTGATTTAGGTGTAATATTTGACAAGCGTATATCCTTCAATGCGCATATAGTTGTCAAGTCTAATCGTATGTATGGTTTTATAGCTCGATATAGTAGGGACTTTGCTAATCCTGTAACATTAAAAATCCTATATTACGCGTATTTAAGGACAAAGTTAGAGTATGCCTCTGTAGTATGGAATCCGTATTATCAGACACAATCTGTCAAGCTGGAAGTTGTTCAAAGACGTTTCCTGGAAGTGTTGTCTTTCAAATCTGATGGCATCTACCCTGGGATTGGTATACCTCATGACTTTTTGCTTCAGAGACACTGTTTTAAAAGTTTAAAGGTTCGTAGGCAATGCTATTCAATTATTTTCTTGTTTAAACTATTGAACAATGAAACTGATGATTCTAACATTTTGCAAAAGTTAGGGTTAGCTAGGTTCTTGTTACGCTCTGTTGCTACGTTCCATCTTCCTGTCCCTCGAAATAATGTTTTGAGCATGTCTCCATTATTTCAGTATTGTACTAACTACAATTTAATAAGTAGACAGCCTGATATATTTAACACAACCACTGTCGGTATTCAAAAAGTGTTTTTAGGTTAGTTCTTGTTTGTGTGTTATTTTATTTGCTGTGATTTAGTGTATTTTCATTGTTACCTCATCCTGCAATAAAAACTAAAAAAATAAACTGTTGGATGTTGTAATTTTTAAAATAAAATTAAAAATATTTTCAAAATAATAGTGATCTAACGTTGTATTTTATCGCTTATTGTATTAAGTAGCACTTACATTTTTTTCTAGATCGATTTAAAATTGTATTCAAATGAAGCTTTCTCTTAAATTTCTTTAAAAAATGATTTCTTATATCTCTCTAGCTCTAATTAAAATATAATTTCTTTGGAGTCAGATTATTACTTGGAATGTTTTCTCCAAATTATTCTAAAAATGTTCAATTCCTTTTTCTTATTACAGACATTATTTCCGGTTACAAAAAATTACATGTTTACCGGACTTTTACCATATTTCTAAAATTGCTGTTACCGAAATCGGCCCCAACAAAAAGCATATAAAGCTATTACATAAAAAGAAAATAAGACTATTACAGCGGTAAAAACTGCACATTCCAAATCAAATAGCGAAGCAACTGCCAAGCGTTACTAATTCTGGAACGTACAGATAAGTCTTGCAACATTTATTTTGACAAACCGCTTCTTCCTCCGATTGCAGAAATTGGTTGAATACCTAAAACTCCTAACAACATAAAAACACCCGCGTGGCTACTTTTTGCTGGTCGAGGGAATTTTATAAAATAAAAGATGGCAGATGTATAAATTGACTGCCACTTAACCTTGTACGTACTACCAGAATTTATAGTCTTTCTTTTGGCCATCTCTTAATGGTTAATGTCATCACGGCCGGTCCAATAAAACAAATGATAAATTCTCCGGGCGAGCGGAGGGGGGGCGCGGGGAAGCCGGAAACGGACATGACGCCATGCTGAGTAGAAACAGCGGAAGACTACTCCAAACAATAGCTTGGCGCGCGGTGTTTTTATGTCATCGCAATTAGAACGGCGGAGATTCAGAAATGCTGTTTTTCCAACTTCTGTAACGATCGCCGTCTTGCTTTTTGCGACCATATCTGACTCAAATGTCATTATCTTAACTTTTTATTGGAGGAAGGTAAAAGGTTTTCCCTTTCAGCCCAAACACAAACGGCCTCCACGGTATGGCATAGGG